TTTCTTTTCGCTTAAGAAGTCGGTTGGCAAAATCACGTTCGTCCTGATCAGCCGGGATATGAGCATTTTTTATCTCAGGATTAAGACGGTGTTTTTCCATTTTTTCCAAAAGGAAAATTCGCAACTCATCAATACTGTAAATACCGTTTTCGATGCAATCAATGACCCAACGCAAGGTTAAGATGGCATTCAATTCTAAATCCCATTCAGTCACGACATCATCTTTCAACATCTTGCCGGATTCCGTCATAGCTTTTTTACCGACATCGATACCCTCCTGAAATTTGAGTTCGGCCGCAGTTGTCAACTCCGATCGAAGCTTGTTCATAGCAATTTCATGAGCCTCGCGGCTGCGGATCAACTCGGCATCTTTATCGGAGCGATCTTTTCGAGCCTGGAGCTCGGCTCTTAAATTTCGAAGTTGCTCATCTTGCGTTTTCACTTGATCTTCAACCTTGGAAAGCTGAACCGACATAAGATCATGGGCCAACAAGAGATTTTCTTTTTCAGTCCTAAGTGCGCCCACCTCGGTTTGCACCGCCTTCAGCTGAGCATCCTTCTCCGACATTGATACTACGTATCGGGACTTTTCCTCCTCCAAGGATGCTATAGCACCTTCTTTCAAGCTTAGTTCGTGTTGCTTCTCATCGAGCTCAGAAACCCTACCCCGATAACTCTCCTCGGCCGCAATAAAACTAACGAGTGCTCGCCCTAAACAACCTTTGGCGTAACTAAATTTTTGGTCGTCAGGTAGAGACGCAATCCCGGCGTGAGTTTTTGGATCCCACGACATCAAGGGAACTTTCGCCGCTTTCACTGCCTCGTCGGGGAATCGATGATTATTTGAAACTTTCGGCTCAACGACAGTCTGATACATCGTGAACCAAGGATCAAACACATCTTCTGGCAACTTTAAGTCGGCAGCCTTTTTTTCGTTCACTCTGAGAAAAGAGTCTCTCAAGATGATCTCAGGCTCTTCCTCCTCCTTGTCTTTACCCGCGCCGGTGTCTTGCCTTTTCTTCATCCTCTCAGCCACATGCGACACACTTGATCTCTTACGACGGTGGACCAAGCCTAAGCAGGGCTCTTCGGGTACTTCCTGTGAGACTTCAGTTTCAGTAACGGGCTCGTTCACCGGTATTATTACTTGTTGTATCGGCTCAACAGTGAGTGGTGGTTGATTATCCACAATGACTGGTTCGCTCACTATGGCAGGACTCGGCTCCGTTCTTGTCGACGACGGTTCGCCGATAACACTTTGAGATCATTTGGGATTCTTTTTCCATGCCTTAAGAAGATTCATGCATCCAGCCATCTCGGTTGATCGAAGACTTTTGTTTTTCCCGACTTTATTCTTCAAATCCGAGTTCGGATTGCATCTCCGATGTTCTTCTGCTTCTATGGGATCCCCCAAAACTGAAGTACCCCAACAATGGATAATACACTGCCACGTGAAACATTTCAAGTTAAGACCAAAGTTACCGATGTGAAATGTAAAGAGAATAAATATGATATTTACCCGGTTGAAATGAAGAGTCCAGAATCCCAGGAGATAAACCAGCTAGTTCCAACCGAGAATCTTTCACAAGTCGTTGATATCTTCGCTTGTTTGCAGAAAGTTCGAATAATTTGTCAACTCGATTGTACAACACTCCTTCAAATTTGGGTTCTTTCTTTCCCTCCAGTTTGGCTACAATGTCACAAAAGTCCACCTGTTAGCGAAGACAAAAAACAAAAACAATTAATACTTGAATTGGGGGAAAGGAAAAAAGCAACTTACAATAACCAGATTTAATAGCCATCGGGATACTTGTCCCATTGGCAAGAAGATCATTAACAAAGTCGGCACACTGCCAATCTCCCTCGATCCACAACCATTCTTCCTGAAATCCATGAAGCATATCAGGGATTTCTGTTATCAACTCGCCGACCTTAACCCTTGACTGAGGTTTACTGATGATTGAAAAAGTTAGAAGCGGGTCCGTTACTTGTCTGTCCGGACTTTTTCTGAAAGTAAACATACTTCTCATGTCCCTTGCCGACGGCAAATCCCATTTCTTTTCAGCCAAGAGCACGAGTAATCCGATAATTCGCTTCCATGAATTCGGAGCGACTTGACACAAGGGAAATTCCCAATTCCGTAAGTACTCTGTAATTATGCGCGGCAAAGGAAATCGCAATCCTGATCTTAAACTTTCAGCAAACACACCGACACATCCTGGCGGCGGATATGCAATCCTTTCCCCAGGATATGGCGCAAATAGATGTACCGACGTGGGGACTCGAATCTCACTCTGCAACATAATGACATCGGCATCTGTCAATATACTCGGTTCACCGTGACAGTTAACTTTGGGGTCTGGCCACCTTCTAATAGGTCATCTCCAATATCTTGGATCGTCAACAGCGTTCTCCTCCACCTTTTTGTCCCCCTCGGTATCATTTAATCGGATATTCAAGCGTTCGACGAAAACTGGATCCCACCGATTATACTCGGAAAGAAATTCCATCTCCCCGGAATGAACCATGTTGATCATCATAACATCCAACTCATCGTCACCAGAAGATGCCCACGACACACTCATGATTTGAAGAAAAAATTTATCGAAACAGATAATCAAAACAAAGAAATGAGTCTTACCACAAGATAAAATTCACAGATCTGAAGGAAATGCTTTGAGAGATGCGGTTATCAATCAGTAAGTTCACAGGAAGGATAAAGTTGCAAGAAACCAAGAAGTCAGATTGCAGAACCAAAGCAAAGATGAGATAAGCTTCAAGAGACGATTTCTTATTTATACTTAACCCTAAATTCAATAGTGACCGTTGGAAAGAAAAAGAAATAGGGGCGCATGGATTAAATTCTTTGATTTCGCGAGTGGACACAACTCTTGAGAACTGTGCCTATCAATAGCAGATACGTGGCCTATAGAAAGTAATCGTTGCCCCGTCAGCGAACGTTGCAATTAAGTCTAGCAAGTTGTACTGTTTCAACTTCCGGTTCCATTTTCGCACCAAGTATTAAGATATCGGGGAATAGCACCAACAACCGACATGTCTACTCAGATCAGGGATTCTATGATATTTTTCAGCATCAATGCCCGTCTTTTTTTAAGACACCCATTAATGATGGGGGCCACCTTGTTGATATGGTTTTCGGAAAACCAAGTTATTAATACTCATTGGCGTTCAAAGCTCGACAATTAGAAGATTATGTTATCTCATAGGATTGACATACTCGCAAATCTCAAGTAATAACACATCAGATAAGAATGAGCCAAGAAACGACGTCCTATCGAGTAAACCGATATCTCATATCGGTTTACGCATATAAACCGATATCTATGACATGTCAAGCCGACATCATAAGGTGGCGCCAGCTCAGCAAAATCATCATTATGCCTTGACAAGTGGCGTGCCGCGAGAATGAATGGCTATCGACCGCCGTTGACTTTTCCTAAGGAATGATTGTAATCTTAATTTTGTATGAGACTATAAAACAAAAGGGAGGAGCTCCAAAGAAGAGGGAGGAGGAACAATCATATTCAATAAACTAGATATTTGCGATTTCTCTCCATAAGACAAATTTTCTTTGAACAAGCAATATAATCTGCGTTAAATAATTTTTGTTAATTCCCATATAACAACATATACTTGTATAAAAAACCATCCCATTTACTAGAATTAGTAGGAAGAAAAATCAACTCATAATTAATTGCACACCATATTTAGAAAGTTTTTAGATTTTTTATATCATAAAATAAGGTAACATTAAATGCTCCTAAAATTATGGGTTTTGATGAATTCATTTTCAATAATATCTGCATCCAAATTTACATGTGATTTTCAAGTGAAAATTAAATTCAGAATATCTTCTCATTTTAGTTACAAGAAAATCGGGTTGCATTTAATACTTGGACCGATTTAAAAATTATTTCTTAAATGAAGGAATTTATAGATAATTGTTATCTCTATTCAATCACATGATTATTTTCAATATAAAAAGAGACGGATTACAAATTAGTGAATCATATACTACCTAATTCAATATCTTGACATTAAAAAATAAACTCATAGTATCATGTAAATCCGTATCTCATATTATTATATCATTAAGAATATATTATAGTTGTATTATCAAATCATAAAAAGATATTAAATCCATATTGTAAAAAAATAATAATTCATGTAATTGTATAAAAATTCTACCACACAATTTAACAGTATTTCTTTTTATTGTATAATAAAATAATAATTAAATATTATATGGTGAGCAAAAATAAGTAGAACTGTTACTTATTCTTATATCAAGGGATAAATTTATATGCTAAAATTAATATTTTTATTAGTATAAATGTTTTAGTGAGATAATATATTAACTATTTTACAAGTTACCCTAACATGCGCATATTTAACGTTCTGACTAAAAAACAACGCTGGTTAAAAGATGTGGAGAAAAGCTTATAACCCTATTGTTTTTTTGACTTGACGTTGATTAAAAGAGGTAGAAAATAGATAATAACTCTATTATTTTTTAGACTTAAATGTGAAAATAAGTCATTTAATATTTCTGTTCCGTGCATCGCACGGGGTTACTAGTTGTAATTAAACCTACTTAGAAATTATCTATTAATATTTATGGATTACTTTTATGGGAAATTCTACGGTCCCGTTACGGAACCATTCCGTCGGTGTTTATAACCGTTAGATCAACTATCCACGACGGTTACATGATGATCTAACGGTTACAAATCTCAATGGAATGGTTCCGTAACGGAACTGTAGCATTTCCCTACTTTTATATAATTATTTAATAAAATTGAGTAATCAAACAAACTAAATTTTAATTAGCCAATCACCATCATCACCGATACGAATGCGATCACCGATACAATCTCTACTGAACTAGTCACGGCCGTAAAATCCAACGAGTGAGGTTTTAGGCTTTTAGTTCAGTAAAAGCCCGTCGCGTCTTTTAAACCCAAACACGGCCCACACAAATGCACGCACTCCGCCACAGGCTGGTTCCCACTGCCATGATCTCTGCCGCTTGTAATCTGTCATCACTGGCTCTCGTACCTGTTAGAAACCCTAGATTATCAATATCTCACAATCCATTACTTCCCAATGCAACTAACTTCACGAACAAGCTTTCTCTCTCCCCCCGCTTCCCTAATGCTTCCGTTCGGTGCTTCGCCGCCGCCGCCGCCGCCGCCGGAAAAGTTCGCGTTCAGAACCCTATCGTCGAAATGGATGGTACTTTGGAAACATAAATAGTCGTTGAACTGTGTTAGCTGTTATTGCCAATTTTTGTTGCTTACTTTTTTGGAGATTTCAGGTGATGAGATGACGCGAGTTATATGGAGTATGATTAAAGACAAGGTCCGAATTACGAGCTCTGGGTTATCATGTTTCTTGTTCTTCCTTTTTAGTTTTATGTTCGTGCAAAAGTGTTAGTGCTTAGTGGTTGTTTGGTTCTTGGATTTCTTTTGGTGAATGCAGTTGATATTTCCGTATCTGGAACTGGATATAAAGTATTTTGATCTGGGAATACTAAATCGCGATGCAACTGATGATAAAGTAACTGTAGAAAGCGCGGAAGCCGCCCTTGAGTAAGTTTAGTGATTGTCTGGAGCTACTATGGAAAATATTATGAGGATGATCGAATGTTTTATATTGATGAATATAGTTCTCTTTCCTGTTCCAACAATAGCAAAAAGACATAATGGACTAATGAGGTATTTCATTGAAAAAAAGACGAATAGAAAAGAAAACTAAATAAATCAATTCGGGTTCTCATGGTGAATTTTCCAGAAGTTGCTTTCTAGATGGCATATGTGGTGAATTTGATCTAATGATTGCTATCGGCAAACTTTAGCATGCCCGTCACTAGATATACTTTCTTGAGTAAAAATGAATTTTATCTCTATTCTTTAACATCATAATATGTTTCTTCTGCTTTCGACACTGCAAGGAACATTTCTTGGTGACATAATGTTAGAATTAAATGAGAATCTAGCACATACGTAAACTCGTGTATAGATTTAAGTTCTTCTTGCAGAAAAATATAATTGTTTGAGAGACTTGTTACGTCAGTAATGAATAACCCATGAGGATCACACTTTACACTGCAAGAGTGGTGAATATTGCCATTATTACAAATGCGTATTATGTAACAAGTGTAATTCCTTAGTTCTGTTTTCTGTCCAGGTACAATGTTGCCATAAAATGTGCTACAATTACCCCAGGTTACTTTCATTCCAGTATTTTGCTACATTTGATAATTCTTATGATAATTATGAAAACAATATGTAATTTTATTGTTGTTTCAGATGAGGCTCGGGTGAAGGAATTTGGACTAAAAGCTATGTGGAGAAGTCCCAACGGCACAATAAGAAACATTTTAAATGGTCTGTATGTATAATTTGTAGTCACGCTGTTTCAATATCAGACATCACATTGTCTTATGAATGCTGGATAATGCATCTTATTTTTTATGTTTTGCATCACTTTTTTAGGAACTGTCTTCCGCGAGCCTATCCTATGCCAAAATATTCCCAGAATTGTTCCTGGTAACAATTTTATTGTTATGTCACGAGTGAGAAGTGAAATTATTTGAACTACTGTTAAGCTATCGTGACCTTATTTATCAGGCTGGAAAAAACCGATTTGTATTGGCAGACATGCATTTGGTGACCAATATCGTGCCACTGACACAATAATACAAGGACCTGGAAAGCTTAAAATGATTTTTGGTTAGCTTGTTGCCTTAATTTAGTTTATGGCACATTTAGTAAAAAAGGTTACTGCTTTACCAATTGCGTGCAATATGCTTACACTCTTGCTCCTTTTCTATGATGTTTATTTCTCAGCTCCAGAAAATGGGGGTGAACCCTTAGAACTGGATGTATATGATTTTAAAGGTCCCGGTGTGGCCCTTGCTATGTATAATGTTGATCAGGTGTGTCATTTATTGATCTAACGGCCAATTGCTAGTGTTAGTGTACATATTTAATTAATTATCCCCTTACCATTTCTCCTAATCCATCAGTCTATTCGAGCATTTGCGGAATCATCAATGGCAATGGCGTTTGGGAAGAAGTGGCCTCTCTATTTGAGTACAAAAAATACCATTCTTAAGAAATACGATGGCAGGTAAGTTATTGTTTTTCTTTTCTTTTCCTCATTTCTTGTTTGGTAAATCAGGTCCATGGCTTAATTTGTGACATTGAACGATAACTCACAGTACAACCCACATTACCATTGTTTCAGGTTTAAGGACATATTTCAGGAGGTGTATGAAGAAAAATGGAAGGACAAATTTGAAGAACATTCTATATGGTTATTTTACATTTTTTATGCACTGTAATATGCATATATGTATTGTTCCCTGGAGTGCCTACACAGTGTTCTTTGTTTTTGTTCAGGTATGAGCATCGTTTGATTGATGACATGGTTGCCTATGCTGTGAAAAGTGAAGGTGGATATGTCTGGGCATGTAAAAACTACGATGGAGATGTCCAAAGTGATTTACTTGCTCAAGGTGATTTTATCTGGCAACGAAATATACATTTCCCTGCAAAATATGGTTGTATTCTCATGCAGTTTCCAGTTATTTTAGTGATCCTATTAGCCCAATCACGTGGATATAATTTGTTTTGAAACTATGGTTGTGTTATGTAGCTAGGCCATACCTGTTGTACACGTAATTTATCTAGTATGCTTACATCCAGTTACCTCTTTTAGTGATGTGGACAGTTACCTCTTTTAGTGATGTAGCTTCTTGTATCAGACATTGTTTCCAAATTTCAACTGCAATACAACATTTCTTCTCTCTCTCTAATCATCTTGCAATACAGTGTCAAGAGAATGATTATCCTTCCAAATTTCTTTGCCTTTTGCAGGATTTGGTTCTCTTGGGCTCATGACTTCCGTTTTGGTTAGTCCTGATTTAGCATATCCATTTATCTCATGATGTATGTTCGGTTTTGTGACATTTATGTTTGCTTTGCAGTTGTCTGGTGATGGTAAAACATTAGAAGCTGAGGCAGCTCATGGTACTGTGACCCGTCATTTTAGGCTGCATCAAAAAGGACAAGAAACCAGCACCAATAGTATTGCTTCCATCTTTGCTTGGACACGCGGATTAGAACATAGGTCGGTTGTTCTTGCTCATGTGAAACTGTATTTTTTGAGGATTGATCCATATCTTTCAATCTTGGCGTTTGAATCTACAACCTATGTTACCCGGACTCTTCTATTTAGAAAGAATACCCGTGTCATGTTGTGTCGACAACACTGGTGTGGGTATGAGTGTCGGGTGTGGCATTTTAGCCTAAAATGTTCAAGATTTCTAAACTATTGACGAGTCGGACGCTCATATCTCCACACCCGATACGCTATCCATATCCGAGTCCAGGTAGCATAGTCTACAACCACTCTTGTACAAAACATAAGAATAAAATCTTTGGTACAAGTCTACGACACGTATGCTTGAATGGTCACATCTTTTTGAAGGAAAATGTATGGCTGAGCGTGGGACTCGGAGAATTCCGAACTGTTCCAAAAACCAAACCGAAATCACTCCGAACCGAAAAATACCCGTTGACCGTTTGACTTTCTCCGAACCAAACTGAAAAATAATTGGTACGGTTCTGGAGATTTCACAAATATCCGTACCGAGAACCGACCAAACCGTCCCATATCGTACCGAACCGAATAATCGAAATTAAGAACCGAATTACAACATTAGATGTGTTATTAATATATTTTATGTCAATTTTAATCCTATATAATATAGTAATAACGATTAACCTTCACTTAAATTTCATGCTTAGTAATACTTGATCTACAATTAAATTTTTTTATTATATAAATAATTATTTAAAATAATATGATAGGTTAAAGAATATTTTTTTAAGAAAAATATTATATTTTGTTTGAATTTTAAATTTTCATTATTAGTTGCACAAATTTAGTCTTAGATAAAATATAGAGTTACTTTTAAAGTTGATTTCAAAATAAAATCTTTAATATGAGGAAGTATTGATGAATAGTCGTTTTATTAAAGCATATAAAAATTAAATAACTAAAATTTAGAGTTACTTCTAGAATTGATTTCAAAATAAAATCTTCAATATGATGAATTATTGATGAATGATGTTTTTTTAAAGCATATAAAAAATTAATATATAACTACGTAGTCATTCAAAAAAAAAATTAAAAAATAAGAAATTTCCGAAGATCCGAACCAAACCATACCGAACTGAACCGTCCCAATAGTCCCGAATACCGAACCGAACCAACCAAAAAATAAAAATCTCCGAACCGAACCGAACCGACTTTTTGGTACGGTTTCGGAGATCGAATTTTGGGATCTTCGAATTTTGGTACAGTTCCAGAGATTTATCAATCTCCGAACCGTACCGATCGACGCTCACCCTTAGGAAAATGTGCATTATTTAAATTTTTCGTATTTCATCGATTTTTTTTTCTTTGTATCTTGATATTGATTTGCACTTGATACATCCACTGGTGTCTGCTTTTCTTGTTCTAGTGTCAACATACTGCCCCATTGCCTCAATTGCATATACAAGCTTGAGTTTTTTTTTTTTTTT